CTCCCCCTTCTTGTGCTCTCTCTCTCTCATTCTCTCTCTCAAATAAATAAATAAAATCTTTAAAAAAAAAAATAAAGTAATACCTTCTGCACTCCCTCAATTTATATTGAAAGAAATTGAGTCCTACGAAGTTTTTAAAAGCATTTTAGGGGCGCCTGGGTGGCTCAGTCATTAAGCGTCTGCCTTCAGCTCAGGTCATGATCCTGGGGTCCTGGGATCGAGCCCCGCATCGGGCTGCCTGCTCCGCGGGAAGCCTACTTCTCCCTCTCCCACTCTCCTTGCTTGTGTTCCCTCTCTCGCTGTGTCTCTCTCTGTCAAATAAATAAATAAAATCTTTAAAAAATAAATAAAGACATTTTAAAATTTTTTATGAATGGAATATATGTATTTTTTAGTTACGTAATTAAGAATAATGAAGTTTATGCCATAAAATCTTGCCTTATGAAAAAAATGGTCATTATTAGTTTTTATGGTATCATTTTAATGCTTATATTTGTATATATTATGAAATGTTTCTGCTGATAAAGCAGTGATGTTTGGTTTTATATTTGTGTTTTGGTTGAATCGGGAGAAGTTATGATTTGTTGGATCAAAAGAAGTGGGATTATAAGGCAGGAAACTTGAATTCTTGTTTTAATTTTTCCATTAGGTGTGTGGTTTCAGATAAATTAATCTCTCTTAACCTATTCTTTCTATACTTTAATAAAGTTTACTTTTCTATAATGGTTTTTATTTCAAATTCTTAAATAATTGAAATATGTTTAATAATTTTTTCTTAATTTTTATTAGTGCCTTATTAATTTCAGTATTATGTTTTGAGAAATTTAGGGGCTATTCCTCTTTGTCATGTTTGAATGTCTTGTATGTTATGAATTATTCTTGTTACTGGGGATGAAAAGTTGAAAATGAATTGTCAGGTAAAAAGGAAGAATTGTTGGGATCAGAATCTTATTTCCGAAAAGCTTTAGGAAATAATTTGGAGAAGATAAGATAAATGTAAAATAACTTCTGAAGGCTGGTAATAAAAAATATTGCCAAACCTAAAATACAAATTTTGGTTATCAGACTTTTCTACAGAAAAAAATTTTCTCTACTTTGAAAATCAGTTATTACTACTCACTGATATGTTTTATAATGTTAGTTAAATGCATAGATCTATCAATGAAGTTATCCATCTTACTGGTTTATATTATTCTTCTTTCATACAGGGCACGAAGACTGTGTAAGAGGTTTAGCAATTTTGAGTGAAACAGAATTTCTTTCCTGTGCAAATGATGCTAGTATTAGAAGGTGGCAAATCACTGGCGAGTGTCTTGAAGTATATTATGGACATACCAATTATATTTATAGCATATCTGTCTTTCCAAATTGTAAAGGTAAGATTAGCATGTATTAAAAATTTTACATTTTATATCAAGCATTGTTCCATTCCATTCTTGTGTTGGGGTAGAAGCGCTAATTATCAGTTTACTAACTGTGATTTGAATAATTCAGTAGTTTTATCTCATTAAGGATCTTCTCGTAAAGGAGAAAATTGTGTGATCATCTTTATATTAACTCACATTTGATGGTTATGTCAAAAAGTTTTTGGGTATTTGAGGAAAGACGTTATATAATTTATTGGTGCAAAGTGTATGGTATGTAAAGTGTGAAATATAGAAAAAGATTTTTGAAGTTGTATATGATATGAGACAAATACATAAAATGTAAAACTAATTTTAAAATAGTTTGGGGTTAAAAAAAATTCTTATGCCTACCTGGGAGGGTGATATGTAATACATGTATTTAATTTTATTTATTCAAACTAATTTTTCCTATATTCATTAATTTTAGATTTTGTAACAACGGCAGAAGACAGATCTCTGAGAATCTGGAAACATGGGGAATGTGCTCAAACAATCCGACTTCCAGCTCAGTCTGTATGGTGCTGCTGTGTTCTAGACAATGGTGACATTGTGGTTGGTGCGAGGTATTTATATTCTAGTCAGTCAATAAATATCAAATGTCTAGGGGGCGCCTGGGTGGCTCAGTCATTAAGCGTCTGCCTTCGGCTCAGGTCATGATCTCAGAATCATGGGATTGAGCCCCGCATCGGGCTCCCTGCTCCGTGGGAGGCCTGCTTCTCCCTCTGCTTCTCTCTCTCTGTCTTTCATGAATAAATAAATAAAATCTTAAAAAAAAAAAATCAAATGTCTAGGCCTTTGATAGCCTCTCTAGTGCACAGAGGTAGGCCATAAGAGAACTTCAGGTGAATTGGGAGACCGTATGTCTATTTCTGGACTGAAAAAACAGTACTAGGCATGACAACTTTTACATTAATGATACATGATATTTTACACTGGTATTGTACTGCAGGTTGTGCAGTCAAACATTGAATGCAAAAGAAATTTGAGAAGGTAGAGATTAGTGTGGGAAAACTTTCTAAAGAAAAAGAAATTTGAATTGCATATTGAAAGATAATGAGTAAGAAGGGAAATGATAATTTCTATCAAAACAAATGGTATAAATAAAGGTGTGGCATGGGCACGAGAGTGATATATGTGGGAAATGAAGGAAAACGGTGGAGGACTCATGCTGGGGAATAGTGGGGAGTGCTGATAAGGTGATAAGGCAGTAAAGCAGAGCATAACTATGGAAAGCCTTGAATGCTGGCATTTTTTAGATTCTGTGCTTGAGGTAAAGGTCCTGGCTTTTGAAGTAGTGACATAATTAAAGCATAACCTGCAAATTAATTACATACATAGGTTGGATTTAACTAGTGGTGACAGTGGGCAGGAAAGCAATTTATTTATTTTTTAAATAATAAGTGCTTATTGTTATTTTTTTGTCAAAGATTTATTCATTTGAGAGAGACAGAGCATGAGGAGGGGGAGGAGGCAGAGGGAGAAGCAGACTCCCCGCTGATCAGGGAGCCCAACTTGGGGCTCAATCCCAAAACCCCAGGATCATGACCTGAGCCGAAGGCAGATGCTTAAACATCTGAGCCACCCAGGCTTCCCAAGGAAAACAATTTAGAAAGCAGTTACAGTAGTGGGGATGTGCCATTATGAAATGTTATCCCCACAGTGCTAATAGATAAGAGGCCAAAATATGAGATATTGCAGAGGAAGGATGATCAGAAGAAGGATAAAAGAAAAGCATAAAGCTTCTCACTTTTGGTGATTGCATTAATAAAATTGGGGAAGTGGGAGAACTGGTTTGATATAGAAGGTGAGGACCTCAGTTTTAGACTTCTGAGGTTCAAGGTGGGGATACGCCACAGTCATGCCAGTGGATCTGGCATGGAAGATGGAGAAAAAAAGAAAGCAGAAGCTATAAGGGATGGAGGGCCTAATAAAGGAGGTGATTTACTTTTTGGCTGGGTGAAGTGCAGATTTGTTGGTTTCATTATTTTCCTCCCAAGCATATTTAAAGTTGAAGAAAAATAAACAGACGGAAAAGGTGAAGTTCCTGTTAGTGGAAGGTTAAGTAAGAAACCAAGTTCTCTGTAGAATTGGGCAGGATTGGGCGCCTGGGTGGCTCAGTTGGTTAAGC